CGAGATTACACTAGGAAATGCGCTCTTAATATCAAGGAACAATACTCCAACGTATTCTCGTTGACGTACGCCCGACCACATTTCTGTAGAAATCAGCGCTGGCTTATCCGAGGAGGACCTGCCCTTTTTGAATCCAAACTGGTAAGGACTGAGAATCTTGTCACGTTCTACAAGCCAGAGGATTCTGTTATAAATTAGTTTCTCTGTGATCTTAAGAAGGCATGAGACTAAGGAAATAGAACGGAATTTGCCTGGTGTGGATTTTGGAATAAAAAAAATGAGGAAATTGTTCCAAGAGGGAGGAAAGGTGCCGCCAGAAATTATTCTAATAAGGATTGAAAGAAGGGCTGATAGGGCTTCATCTAGTACGTGCTGGATAGTTTTAAAATCTATTTTGTCAAGGCCTGGGGATGACTTCGTTTTACATGATTTAATGGCTATTGTAGTTCTAATAGAGTAAAGGGAGCTTCTAAAAATGGATTATTGTCAAAGTTGTTAGGAAATTATTCATGATATACTGTAGGGGGGCAAATTTCGTCTATTGAAGAGTGGAGTTTGTCTATTGTTTCTTTGTCTGCTGAACATGAGGCTGTCTGTGGTTGTGTGAATCGATTTTTAAAGGATCTTACAACAGACCAAACCTTAGAGAGAGGGGTGTCTCTGTCTAGGGAGTTGCAAAATTCTCGAAAAGATTGACGCCTGGCTTCTTTAAGCGTACACTGAGAAAAATAATAATGTAATGTTAACAAAATAATTTGGTGGAGCACTTTTAGTTAAGATTACAAAAATTTAGTTGACATAACAGTAACGAAAGAAGCAATCAATCGAGAAATTTAGTTGGCTGTACCAAAAATTTCGTTCAAGCTTTTGCGTCTGTTAACTGAATAATTTGGTTCTCCAAACCAAACCGTCTGAATGCTCAATTACGCATGCGCTGTTCTCGTAAATATGGCTTATTTCTCTGTTTACGGATGTCACACGTGTCGTCCAGTTTTATTCAAGTGTTTTCGGGATTTTTATGTGTTTCAGAAATTCGGTAAAAAAGTGTGTGTAGTGATGCATATCGAACAGAGAGAATAAAGCTTGTTAACAGAACGGAAGTTTTTCTCCAGCTTGTATACTTTATGAAAATAATTTACAGTCACATTGTCACTAGGATTCTTAGTGTAGTGGTCAGCGTTCTTGATTTGCGTTGCGTAGTCTGAGGGTTCGATCCCCAGCAGTGTTAGGTTTTTCCGCAATAGAAATTATTTTAAGTAGACATAGGGTGGTAGATAATATAAAGCGAAAAGATTAAAAGAGGATAACAAAAGTGATAAAATTAAGTGAAAAATAAAAAATATAAGTGTGAGCCAAAAAATAATTTGGTTGAGAAAAGAAAAAAAATTTTTTCATTTAACTAAATTTTTTGTTTGCTTAAAAACAATAAGTTAGTTGTGCAAAACAAAAAATTTGGTAGTCCGAACAAAATGATTCAACGAAAAAATTTAGTGAGGCCCAATGAAGTAAAAATTGAAAAATGGTCACTGCCCAAGGCGTCCACATGCACTTTTCAGGAGGAGATTGTATATAAGTCTGGAGAAATAAGAGTGAGGTTCAGGGAGGAAGCAGGGTTTGGTGGGCGACCCACAAGAGTAGGTGAGCCATTGTTCAAAATAATGAGATTTGAATCATCCAATTCGAAAATTTGAGTGAAATAAATGAATAAATAGTTTTAAATAACTCATTATTTGTATTAAATAAATTCATTTATTCAATTCAATTAATTATTTAATTGCACCAAATACGATTTATTTGGTTCAAATAAATGCGATTCAAATAATTCAAGTTATTTGAAGCAAATACATATTTTTTTGATCCAAATAAAAAGTATTTGAAACAATTAAATATTTTTCAAATAATTAGAAGTATTTGAATCAAATAAATTTTTTTTTCAGTGTACATACACATACATCTGAACAATTGATCAGGATCTCATATAACATTTCTATATAGAGGAAAATTCGTTTCGACCATTTTTAAAAATTTTATAAACGAAAGGACTACAAAGATTCTTTCACGAGGAAGCAAAAATGAATTATCTATTTTTATGAATAATAAATACATACGTTTTTTTCAGAATTCAAAATTGAAGAAATTTACATTTGGAAGCATCATTTTCACACTTGTTTAATATTTTTCTTAATATCAAACCGATTACAATAAAGCTTTGTAGATTACATCGTTACCATACAATACTCCATTCTGAAAAACAGTTTTAAGGCCAGGTCCAAGTGAGGCAGCGCCATCTACATTGAAACTAAAATTTTGGAAAATTTTCAACGGCCTTTTCTTGAAAACAAGAAGTTAAAATGCTTTTTTCTTCATGGATAATTGATTATTGGCAAGATATACACCAGCTAAAACTTTTTTTGAGTTAAAATAATAAAAAAAATTTCATGTCAATAAATTAAATATGAGCACTTTTTTTCACAAAAACTGTAACAGTACTTTCTCAGAAATTACAATCAAAAATGCAATTTCCATTTGGAAAATTAATAAACGCTAAAAAATACACGACCTAAAATTTACCAATCACGAAAATAACAAAAAGAATTTTTTTTAACATAACATATTTTACTCATTATGACAGCCGTTTGGCAGGTATATATGTCACCAGACGTTTCGCGATTTTGCCGAAAGGAGGAGATTGGCGCTGTTGCTAACCACCTGAAATACATAATCTACCAAAGGGAGCGTTCACAAATTACGTAACGTTTTTTTTTTTTAGTGCTCATATTTCATTTATCGACATGGAAATTTTTTTCATTATTTTAACTCAAAAAAAGTTTTAGCTGGTATATATCTTGCCAATAATCAATTATCCATAAAGGAAAAAGCATTTTACCATCTTGTTTTCAAGAAAAGGCTGTTGAAAATTTTCCAAAATTTTAGTATCAATGTAGATGGCGCTGCCTCACTTGGACCTGGCCTTAAGTAATATTTATTTTTAAAGAAGTTATTAAGAAAAATGATCTTAGCCGCCGGGCGAACTTACCCTCCTTTCTCCTATATAGTTTTCTTGTTCTTTGCATAACAAAAAAAAAAAAATTTTTTTTTGTATATAAAATGTCGTAAGTAAATTTTTTTCTGGAATCGCATGCGGATGAATGAATTAGTTCCAAAAATGAATTGTTAGAATTTTTATTTAATAGAATTTCTTCAGATATAATTTTCAATGAACTAAATTTTATTTGTCCTAACAATTGATACATCAAAATAGAGAGTTTTTCTTGCAGAAAACATTCTGTCTAAAAACTGAGAGACAACGCTAATTTTCATCGGGAGAAAGCTGGGAATCGAATATCCTGAAAATAGTGTCCACCCTGTTAAAGGTTCCAGATCACAGGTGGCTGTAAGGAAAAAAAAGTTTACCTACGATGCCCCTGCTGCTCAATGGTATCAGGTGATTCCATAGCATCCCCTGAGTCGAGAAAAACTTGACCCAAAATCATAGCTGTTTATTTGCGAGAGTATTGCCCCTATTTAGGGGTGATTCGGTAAATTATTAAAGAAAATTTTTTTAAATGGTTAAAAATGTTTGTAAATTTTTTTGACAACTTTTATATAATTCTTACAAATGTTTTTGCTTTTATAGAGTTTCAATTTACATGCATAAAAGGTAAAAAAAAATTTTCTGAAACTTGCATTTTTGAACATTTGGATTTCATAGAAATAACAATTGCAAATAACAAATTTTTTGTGTATTTATCTGTGTAGAAATATATTTCATTTTCATTATATTTATTATAAATGTGGCAAATATTTCTTGAGTTCACTTTATTTATTTGTAAATACGTTTTACAGAAATCGAAAAAACAAAAAATAAAACATAAAAATTTCTTTTATAGTTTTGTAATATTTATTGAATTTATTTTATACTTATAATTTTATTTTATAATTTTAATTAATTTTATTATTTGAGTTAATAATACATCTTTTATTATTAATATATATTTTTATATATTTAATTTTATTTTTTATAATCATTTTTAACCATTTGAAAAAATATTTTTTAATAATTTACCGAATCACTCCTAAAAAGGGGCAATACTCTCGCAAATAAACAGCTATGATTTTGGGTCAAGTTTTTCTCGACTCAGGGGATGCTATGGAATCACCTGATACCATTGAGCAGCAGGGGCATCGTAGGTAAACTTTTTTTTCCTTCCAGCCACCTGTGAGATACATGCCCACATAGGAGTTTTAGCATAAGGATTTTTCGAAAACTGATATAGATAATGTATTTTTTCCCACGAATCCAACAAAATAAAAAAACTTATTTTTCATATAAAAAATGAAAGTGTCAGGTACATATATCGAACTATTCAGAAGTGTCATCTGCTTAATCGAAAAAATAAAATTCAAAAAAAGAACAGAAGCGTTCATTGTTTTCTTTTCTCTACCTATCCTCCGTTTAATCCTCTTAAGGGGCGCTCCAGTGAAATTTGTAAAATAATATTGTTGGCAAAGTTTCTAATTGGTATTACTGTAAAATGTTTTACAGAAAATAATATAAAAATTATATGACGTTATTGCACGTTGCTAAATTATTATTCCATATTTTTATTCATTCAGAGCATTAAGTTTATTAATTATTCAAACTTATAAATCGTCCGTTTTCGGTAATGAAATGAAGAGAAGAATTATTAAGAATATGTACAATCCTAAATTTTAAACAGTTTAATTGCTTTGCTTCAAATACAAACTCATAAAGAATTTGGTTAAATTAGGTTTTTCAGTCGATCAGTCAAAGAAGCTTTCAGCTTCTCATTTGAAATTTTGATGAAATATTAAACGTCTGTTTTGTTTAGTTCGTTTGGTCGTTTGCTGAAGACTTTTCTTCAAATCGCGAATTCCCATTTTTTCACAGACAAATAAAATCTTTTCTTTCTCAGACTATTGCCGAAAAACGATCGAACGAAAGAATTTAAGAAAGAAACATGTCTGAACCCATTTAGCAACTCTGGACCTGAGGTATTTGCTGAATCGCCGAAAAGTAAGGTGGTCCCTAGCAGCACATGACATTTGTTTCACAAATGTATGGCACTCTTACTTCTTTATGCTTGGGAAATGCATACCAGTCATCAGGGGAAATGGAATTTTCCAGGATGCTGTAGATTTCTGCATCGAGAAACTATCTTCCGGCGAGTGGGTTCACGTCTTCCCTGAAGGCAAAGTCAATATGCTCAAGGAGAATTTAAGGTTATTAAATTTTTCATTTAATAACACTTGCGAGGTCTCTAACACTACCATGAGTGAAAATTACCAATTATTTCCATTCCTTTTCCACTTTCAAGGAGTCGCCCATATCTTATGTTACGTTCTCTTTCTCAACCTGAAGAGAAAGGGCGCTAAAATATGCAAGTAGTAATATATGGACGATCCCAACTAAGATAAAAATAAGTTCCTATTAACAGGTACAAATGGGGCATTGCAAGGCTCATTCTTGAATCGCCAGTGATTCCTCTCGTCGTTCCGATTTATCATCTAGGCATGGATGATATTCTTCCGAACGAGCCACCCTATATTCTTAAAACGGGCAAAAGAGTCACTATGTATTATGGAGAACCAATAGATTTTAGCGATATGATAGCTGAGCTCCGAGCAACCAAAGTCACTGAATCCGAAGCCAGAATAATCATCACCAATCGTGTTCAAGAAGAACTCAATAAGTAAGTTAATTGAATTTTTGCTTCCTTAGCCTAGCTTTCTTACAGTAATTTTCATTCGACACAAATAGAGCTTTCTTACAAAACCATTAAATGTGACAGCTTCTGGGAAAACAGTGCTTACGACTAAAATTAACTTTTCGAGAAAAACGTATTTAAAATATACTATTCTATAGTGGTGTACGTATTAATCCTACGATTTGAAAATTAAATAAATAAAGTAAGGAGAAAGAAATAAGGTATAGTACTTTCCTGAGTGTAGCAAAGAGACAAAAGGTACATGATTTTCTTCAAACTACTTATATTAAAATTATATTCAACACTCCAATATTATATTTAGTAAAATATTTAAAAGAAGAATTGATTAATAACAAATTAAATAATATTTATAATTTTGTGTGTTTATGTTAGCCGCTACAGTGGTAATACAATGGCTTAAAACTTGTTATTCGAGAGTTTTTAGGTTCGCTGACTACTAATTTGATATCAGATTTTTTAAATTCAAAATGGCAAATCTAATATGGCGGAAAAATTTGTTTCCAAATTGATTGGATATGATTGAAACTCATTATTTAGGGGTTTTTAGAATTGCTAATTACGATTCCAATGTCAGTTTTTCAAAATTCAAAATGACGGACCTGAACGTCGAATATTTTTATGATATTTTAGATGGATAGGTAGGTAAAAAAAATTATTAAAATTACAATTCTTATGTACATAATAGAATTTATTCAAGTAAACAGTATAATATTATTTTTCACAGTCTTTGAACATAAAAGTATAAAAAATAATTTGAGTTATTTTTAAACGTTGTAACATCAACTATTGATATCATGAAGAATTGGATTCTTTATTCGATACTTCAACAAGTATTAAATATATATGAATACTCTTTTAATAATTTTTTTTTAATATTATGAAAAATTATCTACTTCTTCACTAGTTCATTTAACACTTTTAATACAAGTGTGCAATGACGCTACAGAGCTTGTAGCTTTTTTTGTTGTTTTAAAAAAGTAAAACTCCATAAAATTGTAGAAGAAGTTTAAAGACTTCGCAAAATGTACTTTAGTTACATAATGCAGTTAAAACAGCAAATCAAATGCTAAAATTGGACCGGAAGATTTATTTATTTCTATTAACTGCTAATCGCCAACAATGAAATAAGTATCTGATACTTGTCCCGAAATACCATTTAAAAATGTCTGAATTGCTCCTTCCTTGGAAGTTGATCGAATATTTTCAATAGTTGCATTAACATTGGCGCACTTGAGTTTATTCAAAAGTGTTAAGTTAAATTAATTTTTCTCTTCATTCAAGTTAAAGTACTTGAAAAGTTTTAAAATTTAATTGTTTTCATTAACACTCATTCCTAGAGGGTTATAGAGGGCGCTGATTTCGAATTTTTCATTTACTCAAAAATTCAAAAGGGCGGAAGACAAATTTTAAAAGTTCGATTAACTCCATTAAAGCTAATTACTAGGTGGTTATAGAGAGCGCAGATATCGAATTTTTTATTCACCCAAAAATCCAAAATGGTGGTTGTCAATTTTTGAAAATTCGATTAATTCCATTAAAACTCATTATTAGGGGGTAAAATAAGGCGCTGATTTATAAATTTTAATAAATTCAAAAATTTCAAATAGCGGGTGACGAATTTTTAAAATTCAATTGTTTTCATTGACACTCATTCCTAGGGGGTAATAGATGGAATTTCAAAAATTCAAAATGGCTTTTGACAAGTTATTAAAATTCGATTATTTTTATTGAAACTCATTATTAGTAAGTTATAGAGGGTGCTGATTTCGAAATTTGCATATACTCAAAAATTCCAAATGGCGAATGACAAATTTTGAAAATTCGATTAATTTCTCTACAACTAATTACTAGGGGGTTACAGAGGGAGCTGATTTTTAAATTTTTTCACATTTAAAAATTCAAAATGGCGGATGACCATTTCTAAAAATTCAAGGATAAAGTTCCGATTAGCCGAAACCTCCAATCTTTATGAAACTGTATTTTGGTGAGCTCTTACAAAATCTGAATAAGTGAAATTTCACTTAGAATGTTTCAAAAGTCTTCCACGTAGAAAAATGAGTGTATATGCACTTAAACATAAGTGATTGTCACTCCAAAATAAGTGAAGTTTTACTTATTTTTAAGTGCATATACACGTATTTTCTACGTGCAAGACTTTTGAAACATTCTAAGTGAAATTTCACTTTTTCAGATTTAGACAGCTGATTACGAAAATGATAGTGAAAAATGATAGTTTGCAAATTTGATTATCATGGTAGAAACCATAAGAAACACCATTAAATTATTGTTTTTTGCAATTAACGTGTAAAAAACGCAAAACTTCAAAAAAATTTTAGACAAAAGTTGTAGGTCTTAAAAAACACACATTTTAAGTCATACACGGAGAGAAATATATGGTAAGAACTTATGATCTTAAGATGGTAAAAAGTAGATGTTATCCGGTACTATCATTATGCTACTCGGTACTATCAAAGATGTTACAAAAAATATTGTTATGTTACCCACTACAATCAAGATGTTACTCCGTACAATATTTATTGTAACTGATAGAATCTAGATTGCTGTCCGTATATGTAAGATCAAATATGGTACCTGGTATTATCTAGATAGTACCCCGTACCATCTATTTCTCTCCGTGTATACATTTTTTACCAAAAGTGATTATTTTTCGAGAAGAATCCATAAAATCATAAAACACCATGAAAAATGATGGAAAAAACCCTACACATCATAATTAGAGAAAAATTTAGTACGTGTAAGTATACTAACATGTACATGTAAAAAAAGTTTACTTCCGTTTGCATTTGAAAGGAAATGTAGCGGGGGACGGATATGGCAGAAAATATTCTGCGGACAATTTAGAGAGTTATACTGCCGTACACGATATAAAAACTTAGGTAACCGCCTAAGCAGAATAAATTCTTGAACGGGAACGCAATCGTGAAAATAAACGTATGAATAGGTGAGAGAAGAATAAATATATTTGCTATCCTTCTCTTACACATTCTTACATTTTCGTTTACGATTGCGTTTCCGTTCAAGAATCTATTCTGATTAGGCCTTTAAGCTGATTTTAGTGCGTTTTTGCTACTGAAATATCGACCTAAGCGACAATGTTGGTTACCTATAAGTTTTCACATTCTACGGCATTATAGAGGGCGCTTATTTCGAAATTGTTATATACTCAAACATTAAAAATGCAGGATGACAAATTTTGAAAATTCAACTATTTTCATTTCTAAAGGGATATAGAGGGCGATGATTTGAAATTTTCAATGATTTTTCCCCAAACTCTACATTGAAAAAAATGTTGCCAAAAAACTACCATTGGGTAGTTGACTAGAAAGTAGTTAAAATAACTACTTTTTTAGTTAATCTAATCATGTTCATGTAGTTAATGTAACTATTTTTAAGAAGTTAATAAGTAATAGTTGATTTTACGTAAATATGTAGTTAAAGTACAAGTACAGGTCGGTAGTAAAATTAAAAATCTACTACTTAAAGTAGTAGTTTTAATTGCAAAAGAGTTAATAATTCTGCAGAAAAATGTTCTTAAAGCCTGTTGAACCACTTTCAGTAATATAGTTTACTACTTAAAGTAGTAGTTTCAATTGCAAAAGATTTATTAAATGTACCAAAAAAATGTTCTTAAAGCCTATTGAACCACTTTAAGTAGTAAAATCTACTACTTACATCTTGAGTTGTTTTAACATTTTTAAATTGGTTTAACTATTTTTATATAGTTAATAGAACCGTTTAAATTCAGTTGAGGACCTATTGTACTACTCAGTGTAGTTAAAAAGTAGTAAAACCTACTAGTTTTTTTTCAGTGTAAAAAAACGACATTTCAAATGATCCAAATTTATTCAGTCGACATTCTAAATTATTCTGCCTTCCTAAGGAAAAACTTACGTAAGTGACATTTTTGACAAAATTGAGTTTTTGGTATCAATCAACGCGGAAAGAAAAGCTGCATTTATTTGTGTTAACCGAAATTAAGAACGTTAATTAATGACTGAATAAAACGATAATTAAAAACCAAAGAAAATGAGGAAAATGAAGAAATACTTGACAAAAACTTACACGTTATACTTTGCGTGCTCGGAAAAACGTACGAGGTCAACTGGCGCCGCTATGAAATACGTCGAAAAACTTACACAATTTTACTTGCGTTCTTTGTCATTTCTGATAGGTAGTCGAGCAGGACCCCGCGTCAGAAATAAAAACATCGTATGTTCCTACCTTGGACTTATGTAAGTTCTTCTCGCTGAAATTTCGCCGAGGCACCATGCAAGTACACCTGTTTCTTTAAACAAATACAACATATCTAACAAAAGTTTCTTTTACCAAATTAAGGTATATTGTTTATTTAAACATTTTAAAAAAGAATTGCTTTAAATTAAAATAAAGTAACATTGAACGTGAAGGAGACCGTTTTTTCAATTAAGGTCATAAATATAAGCTTTTAAACTTTCTTTTTAACTTAGAATAATTTTTTTTACTGTTTGAACTGAACACTTAGAAATAAAAAATAAATTTTTTTTTATATAACAAGCACAAATTTTGCTACAACTGGTTTATTAACTGTCGATTCATGACTGTACATTTCAATAGTCATCCAAATGCACAAACATATCCCTGACGTCAAACCTTCCGCTTGATATATCTCGATCGTAGTGAAAAACACCAGGGCTATAGCGGGTACCGAGGGAGTCACACATTCGAGTACTAACCGTTCGGTTCTCAAACGTGCTTTACCTCAGCGATCACAAATCAAGACGCTTTACCGCTGAGCAATATCATCGGTTTAATGACTGATTATTTTTAGGTTCTTAAGTTTATTGGTTGAAAATATTGCAAGCAATTTTGCAAAATTCTTTTACTTTAGGTTTGATGTTATTAATCGGTCGTATAATTGAACCTCCCAATTCTATAACTCGATTTGCGCTCGGACGAAGCTCTAGTGGTAGTCGGGTAGCAGTAAGTGAGCCAATGACGCGCTCAAGTAGCTAGATTATACATTTCTTGGTATTGGTCGGTTTCCTGCATCACTTATAATTAGAAGGAGTCTGGTCGTTTGATAGTGAACGTTCTCTTGATGTCTAGCATAACCCAAAAATCACAAAACTATGCTTACGTGTGCACAAGTACCTAGTGTGCGAGCAACTGACTTGCAGGTACAATAATACCCTAGTATTGGAGGAGGTTCCTCATTCATATCCTCATTCATCTCATTGTCACCATTGGGTATGTACGCAATCCAATGTTGATATTTTCTTGCGTTTCGGAACCTAGAGAAAACTCTAACTCTCTGTAATCCTGGCTGTGGCAGACGGTTTTCGTCAAGCAGCATCTCAATATGGAGTTCTTCGTCATTGTCCCTTTTAACGATATCCTGCACGTAGGATGGTGCTAGTTTTATTTGATAAATACCAACAGTGAGGTTTTTCAGGTACTGAATATCTAATATTGAAAAGTCCAATAACTGTGCTTCATTTATCAATAACCACCTTTGAGTGTTTCTATTCCTCAGATTGTCATTCTCAACTACAGCGTTCACCAGGTTTCCCTCTTTTGCTTTCTCAAGCATTTCATTTGCTTTTGTGACAGTAGCTTCTTCCATATGAATAGTGGGGTG